TTTACCTCTCCTTTGATTGACATATGATTCGGATGTAAATTTTCACTTAAATTGTCAAACCATTTTCTAAACGTGCTAATTTAATTCTAGGATCAATATAGCACCTAAACATAAAGAAAGGAATGTTTCCAATATTTCAAAAAAAAATTCCATTGCATTTATTGGTGCATGTAAAATTTCATTGTCTGTTTTTTGTAAATAACTCAGAAATTTTTATAATTGCATGTATTACCAAGGGACTAGTAGGATACACACCAGAAAGTTGTAAAGTGGATTGGTAAAAACATTTGAGAAAATAATGAAATACTTTAACTATCTTCCAATCATTTTCTACCAAATGATGAGGACCTCTTATTATTTGCTACAAAATAATTAATTATATTAGCATAAGGTAAACATGAATCAAGCATTAAATAAGTACTATTCCATCTAACAGGCATATCTAATGCAAAAGTTCTAGGAGACATATTTGATTTTATACAAGCTTCTTGAATTCAGCATTTCTTTTATTACTACCAGTAATCCAAGCTAAAGATTCCCTAATTCTATCAATATTTTGTTTAATTGTTTTCATACCACTTTTCACAATTAATTAATAACATGACATGCACAACGTTGGTGAAAAAACTTCAAATTGTTATATAAAGATAATTATTTTGAAAAAAATTTATAACTTTACTATTAGAACTTGCATTATCTAAAGTTAAACTTATCACTTTATCAATAATATCATAATCTTCTAAAACTTCACAATTTTATTATAGATTTCTAACCACTATGATCACATCCATTAATCTAAATCCTAATAAAGATTTATTTAATTTAATTCATTATCAAAATATGACTAGTCACACAAATATAATCTTGTTTAGCTCTACCACTCCAAATATCGGCAGTTAAAGCTACACTAATATGACAAGTATGAAATTTATTTTTTAATTCTAATTTCTTTTTTTAAACAATTTTATTAAATCATTTCTAGTTGCAGTTTTAAAATAACTTTTAAATCCTGGAAAAATGAATTTGAACAATCTTTCAAAATATTTATCTTCTGCCATATTAATAGGTTATCAGATGCAGCAATATATAAAGTTAATTGTTCCCTATATATATCAGAATTTAATGCCAAGTAGTACCCATATTAGTTATTTGAGTTTGATTGCTTTCTCTATTTCCATGTTGATTAATATGTTTATTAGCATGCCTTTTAAAGTACTAGTACCATTACCTGAATCAGTTTTATAAACATTTGCACAATATTTGCATCTTGCTTTCTTGACTTGAACGCCATTTTCTGTCTCGTAAAACTTGTCGAAATACGCCCAAACGTCTGATGTGTGTCTGTTTTCGCTTTCGACGGCAGTTGATGATCCCGCCTCAGCTTGAAATGAAGTTGGACGAGGACGACGATTACGAGGACGACTCTAGAACCACCGGAGCTGTTGGAATCGACGGCATATTTTGCGGTGTATCGGATTCTGAGACTGGATTGACAGCGGGACTATTTGAATCTCCTGCATTATAGTAAAATCAGCGGGACTAGGACTAGGATAATAGTTTTCTTCATCTTGAAATTGATGGGAGAGAAATATCTATCCATTGTAGACTTGTAGTTGAAAAAAAAATTGATGTAGAAGAAATAATTAAAGAAAGAGAATTGGAATATGGAAATTGGAAATTTGGAATTTGGAAAGTTGGAAATATGAATTGAAAATTGCAAAAAACTAATAAAAATTAAAATAAGAGCAAATTGATAACAAAAAGATTAAGAGAATAAATGAATAATTGAGAGAATAGAGATTAGAAGATATGAGAAATGAGAGAATTTGAGTTGTGAGAAAATATGAGAGTTTAGGGCCAATTTATAGAAAAAATGGGAAAAGAAAATGACGAAAAAGACCCCTCTAATCGCTATAAAACGGCTATATTTCAAGGGTAAAAGGGTAATTGAAAAAAATTTACATTTTTTTTAATTTTTTTTGGCCAACCCGGCGGTTGCAACCCACTGGGTTGCGGTCCTCTTGCAAAGAGGACAAAATAGCAACCCGCGGGCCGTCGAGTTGCCATTTTGCAACCCGGCCCGCCCGAGGGTTTGCGCGGGTTTAAGACGGGCCGGGTTGAACCCTCTCATTACGGGCCGGGTTAGGGTTGACCTGCCTAACCCGGCCCATTTTTTCCACCTCTAGATGATGTAGACTTTAATATTTTGAGTGAATGACATTTTCCCACCCAAATTTGCCTTCATTACTTTTCCCACCCATCATTAAATTCAAACGTTATTTAACAGCAAAAGGGCATTTTTGTCATTTCGGACAATATATATTATAAGGTTAGTATACTTACACTCCTAATTACAAACACATAACTATTACCTTCACCAACTTGGGAATTAGTCATTGAAACCATATCTTCAATTTCTATAATTACAAAACAATATTTCATGAAAATTGTATATATAAAAATATAATTTCCAAAAAAAAAAACTGAAAAATTGTAAGAAAAACCGAAAATAAAAAATTAAGAAAATTGAAAAAAAAAAAAAAAAAAGTTGTTCAAAATCGCACCTAGCGATTCTTCCAATGTAGGCCAGCTTTTTTTAGTTTTTTTTCAATTTTTATTTTAATAACTGATTTATTTTAAATTCTCTTTTAAATTTATTAACCCTAATTAATATAAACTAAACTAGGGGTGAAAAACACATTTAATAAAGTGTGGGTTGGAAATTGTTATTCACTCTCGTTAAAAATTATAAAGTCACATAATAATGGTATCTATTGATGGAGATTGACAATGGGTGGAAATTGTTTTTTTAAAAGTTTGTGGTAGAAATATGTAATTTCGGCGAACCTGGGTGGCCTTGTCATCACTATTTTACCTAACTTTATAATTAGACCATGAATATGACTTCATAGGTAGATGAAATGTAATCTCGGGCTTTGAAGATACAATGTTTAGGTGCCAATTGATTGATTGATTTATAAAAGTAAATCAAACTACAGGTGATAAACATCAAATTCTCTCACGTTAATTGCTGTAGAAAATGGAGTAAACAACATTTTCTCACCCAAGGTTTGCCTTAATAAACTTTTTCACCTAAAAAGTTTCAAAATATCACATTCTCACCAAAAGTTTATATTCCTATCAATACCCAAAACCGATTCCAACGGTAAAATTCTCTCTATAGCCACCATTTGAACCTCCGATCTCTTCCTACAAAAGCCCTCTTACTCCAGCACCTAATTTCTCATCCATTGCTTGCCACCTCAAAGTTAGGGTATTCTTTCTTAGCTGATTTTCGAATGATTCTGATGACAAATTTTAATCGGTCACCACCATTCAATTTACTGGCCTCAACTCTACAAAACCTTTCTTATCTTGGCACTCTGGTATCTCGTCGAATGTCAACTAAGAAAGTTAAGTATATTTTGAATATTAACAAAATATAAACTTTGGGTCAGAAAGTAGTATTTTGAAACTTTTTGGGTGGTAAAATTATTGACGCAAACCTTGGATGGGAAAAAGTTGTTTACTCATAGAAAATTAAATGCGTTGTGGACCATGTTCAATCAGAAGACAAAACACCACTGTAAATTCAATATAAATTCACAAATATTATATATGATGTCTCCACACTACTTTCCACACACATAAACCACAAACCTTGACAGTGCGCGTGTTCCACATAGTAGGCACTGAAAAAGAACAAGAGAAGGCAACATTATCGAAAGTGTTCAAAACTCCATGGCAGGACAAGCATCAACTTTCTTTGTGCCATAGTCTTGTATGCAATCGCTCTCGGTTCATTTGGGTGCTATGCAGCTCAGTCGAAGAAACTACTGTTTTGTTTGGAGACTCACTCTTCGATCCAGGCAACAACCAGTACATCAAAAATTCAGCGAAACCCGTATCAACATGTATCCTTATGGAATGACATGAACAACAAATCCACTGGCAGATTTTCAGATGGCCTTATAGTTCCTGATTACATCGGTAAGATCTTTGTCAGTTTATTTCTTTACTAGTTAAACTTAATTTATAGAGTTAAAGATGTTGATGAGTTTTTTCACTCCTTGAATTTTCAGCCCATTTGCAAACCTTTCAGTGGTCCTCCATACCTGCAACCAGGAGCAGATTTAACCAATGGAGCTAACTTTGCCTCTGCCGCAGGTGGTGTTCTAGACGTCAATATGGAGTGGTATGCTCTTTATAAAGTAGGAAACTGTTGTTTCTTTTGAATTTTTGAACACCTTTCAAGATAAGGTTCTGATGGCTAATTAATTGAAGTGGGTTCGGTTTTTGTTTTCTTTCTCGTGGTTTCTCTTTTGTGTATCAAATCTAAACGAAAGTGGGTGACGATTTTGAATCTCTTAATGGCGTTAATTTCCATAAACTGTCAGCAACAAACTTAAGAGATGTCATATCATCAATAATGTCACCTTCAATTAAATTCCCGTACTCCATTTCTGCATATTTAAATTAAAAACTCATACTGATATGTCCTAGAGCGCTAAGAGCGGTACAGTTGTAAATTTACAAGTATTAGTTAGGGTGTCCTTGCCAACAAACGAGCCGAACCGCTTGCAAACGAGCTCAAGTAGCTTGTGTTGTGTCGAGCGGAGTTTGAGCATAATATACTTTACTCGAGCAGTTCGAGAGTTTACTCGAGCTCAACATTTTATAAATATTTTAATTTTTATATAACATTTATATATATAATAAAAATATTAATAATTAAAATCGAGTCGAGCTTCAACTATTCCATCGAATCGAGCTCGAGTTTCTCAATATTCAGTTTGGTTCAACTCGATTGCAGCCTTAGCTGTCATGCTATATTTTTTTTTTTTTTTTTTTTTTAATAATACATCTTATTTTCCATTGTTTCAGCTGAATCTTAAACAACAGTTGGCCTATTTCAAGAACGTGGCAAATTTAATGTCACAGAAAGTAGGTGCTAAAGAAGCCACAAAGATTTTACTAGTTCTGTGTACTTATTTTTCTCTTTCGGAGGCAACGATTACTTTCGGTATGACTCCAGCAACGCTGATGCCACTCATTCTGAAAGAGTAGTATACATGCGCATGGTGGTAGCCAATTTAACAAATGGCTTCAAGGTAACATATATTCTGACGCCATTTTAGGTCTATTCCGATGAGTTCTTTGCGTCGGGGAAGGCTGTATTTCCCACAGTATATGTTGTACTGAAACTTGTTGTATTGATTTGCAGGAAATATATAATATGGGAGGAAGGAAATTTGCGATCCAGAGTGTTGGACCGTTAGGTTGCTTGCCCGTTATAAAAGCAGTGCACACTGATACAAATGGCTCTTGTGTTGAAAATTTCCTAACGCATGCAAATCAAAACAACAAAGCTTTATCTAATCAGCTCAGCAAGATGGCCAAAGAATTATCTGGATTCAAATATTCGATCATGGACTACTTCTTTAATCTCCTTTACCGAATTAATAACCCTACAAAATATGGTAATATTAAGTTATATGCAGTCAAAAAAAATTATATATGTTTATGTCTACTGTCTAGTTTGAACTTAATGTAACTTCAATTTTCTGTGCTTGATTATGTTTTTGAAGGGTTCAAGGAAGGGAAAATTGCATGTTGTGGCAGTGGACCATATAATGGACTGAACTGTGGAGGAGGTTCATACAAGTTATGCAGTAATCCAAGTGACTATCTGTTCTTTGATGGCGGCCATACATCTCAGAAGGCAAATCTTCAGATTGCAGAGCTAATATGGAGTGGAGTACCAAATGTTACTGGACCTTATAATGTTAAGCAACTATTTGAGCTTCCTTGATAAGATTATTTAGTGAATAAATTATCATATTTTAATATGTTTTCTTTTAAATAATGTATTTTTTGGAGCAATAGATAATGTAGACTTATTTTCAATAATCTTTTGTTTACAATTGAATCATATAAAAAGTTGATGAATTTGTCTTTTGCTTTTTGTATTTAACTACCAAAAAGTTTGAAAACTACCGTTACCCACTTTCCGTGAAGATATTTAATAAAACCCATTAACTCACGTGATACAGTAACTGTAAAATTAAAAATACCCTTGACTATTTGAATCTGAAAATAACTAAGGCTATTTAGGTAATTTCAAAATCTAAAATAATTTAAAAAAAAATTCATCCGTTTTCTCCCAAATTGCATCTTCTCTTCTTTCCATCCCTCTTTCCTTCTCTTTGTCCATGCCGTCATGCCGGCAGCCGACGACCAAGCTTTCTCTCTTCTCTTCCTTTTCTTTTCTCTCTTCAACATCACTTGCTTATGTCTACACTACCAAAAGAAATAAATCAGTTCATAACAGAATCACATTCACATACAAACCTGTAATTTGCCCGTTCATCAAGCATCCGCTTGCGCTCAGCCTCCTCCCTCGATATCTCCAACATTCTAGCCCTCAAGTCCTTCCTTTGTCTCCTCACAATGTTCCTTAGCCTCTCAACTTCCTTGGCCGCTAACTCTCTCTCATTCAGAGCTGCTTCTCTACTCTCGTTGGTGTTCCCACTCTCTCTGTCCACCGGAACCTTCTCCTTCCTCTACTTTTTCCCTCCTCTCTCCCCAAATTCACCGAATTGCCACTCTCACCACCACTACCACTACCGTGGACCGTTATGTTCTTCCTCATATTCTCCACAGTTTTCTCCTATTTCACTCTCTTAATCAAAAAACTCCAAATCGGTATCATGTTACCACGGAAAATAATGCGAATGGCATCCACAGACCGTGCATTTGATTTGCTCGTCGAATGTCGGTCCAAGTGGCCTTCTGAAGCCACTCTACTATGGCCTCTGGTTGAACCGTCGACGAGCTCTGAATTCTGGAGACAAACAAACAAACAAACAAACAAGGTAGATAAATTTGATGCCTGTACTTTCAAATTCGAATCCCTAATTTGTAAATCTGAATGAGTGAATGCACACCTATGCTTACACACACACGTACGTATGGGTGGACAAAAAGAAGATGATGAAATTGAAAGCCTAAATTGAGAGGCAGACAAAGCAGATCTGACAGAATGGCCGGCGAAGGAAGAAAGAAGAAGAAGAACGCTACGAAAACGTATTGATGATTCGAAAATACAAGTTCAAAAAAGACACAGGTCCCGCTCTCTTGCTGTTTTATTAAGGAACTACTCTATTAATTAAGTAATAGAAGAGAGAAAGGAGATGGAAAGCAAAAAGAGAAGAGAAGAGAGAAAGCTTGGCCGTCGGCTGCGCCGATGCCGGCAGCCGACGGCATGAACGAAGAGAAGGAAGAGGGATGCAAAGAAGAGAAGATGCAATTTGGTGGAAAAAAATTAAAAATTATTTTCGATTTTAAAATTACCTAAATATTCTTAGTTATTTTGAGGTTCAAGTGGTCGAGAGTATTTTTTTCTCTTTAGGGTTAGTGGGTAATTATCGTTTTCAAATTTTTTGGGTGGTAAAGTGTCATAGGGCAAACTTTGGGAAGAAATATGTGGCTCCGCCTGTTTCGGCGTTAATTAAATTGATTAATTAATAAATGTTTAAGAATCACAGTGAAACAGGCTTCCAAAGTTTGTGGATCATCACTTGTATATATTTATAGCAATAAATCTAACTATAAGTAGTAAAAAAGCACATAATTCTCTTACATTAAAATTAAGAAGACACCTATTAAGAAAATTAATCATAAAGATAAAAGCAATCTAATTAAAGTATTTTCTTACACCAATCTAATAGACACTTATAATCCTATAAATCTTAAACCTTTTCTTTTCATGGATTTCTATATTTATGAGAGACGTTTAAAACCTCTCAATATTTTTAAAGGATCAAGTTACTGTAACACAAATTTTTTATACAAATTTATAACCATTGATTCATAATAATTCAATGGCTTAGTAATTGCTTAGCTGGTTTGAAAAATAATTAATTCTAACTTCTCATCAAAATCTATTAGATTACATTGAATCAAAGGTTATGAATTTGTGTCAAAAATTTGTGTTATAATAGTCTAACCTATTTTTAAAAGCATTTTTTAATAAAAAAATATTTGAACGTATATTATTTTAAAAGTAGTAACAATACCAAATGAGCTCCAATCTAAATGATTAAATTTTTGGTCTTTTGGGTACCCTCATGTTAATTATAGACATGCATGCACTCATATATTCTTATCCATTAAACTTTTCGAAGGTCCCAATCGGTCAAATATTAACATGTATCACATTAACACGCTTTCAATTAAATGAATGAGGATGACATTTTCTGTACCCCCAGGCCCCAACAGCCCTTCATCCTACTTTTCAACGTGTTTTCACATACATGCATGATTGACGAGCGAATCCAAAGTTACAAAAATTGATGAGATGACATGAGGGCCTGTTCTTCAGTTTTGCCTATTGATGATAGCCTTGTGCAATATGGGGAAATAAAGTATCAAGTATTCAAACTTGGACATGTAGATGAGAGGCGGTTGAGGATATCCTGTTTATATACGTTAAACCAATGTTTTAAAACCCGTCGGTCAAAGGTAAGTCAGCATGTAAAAAAGTTTAAAATCTAGTAAAAACACACTTAAAATTCTATAAGTTCCTATAGGTTTGAAATCTTGCAAAAAAACCCTCAAATGCAAATCGGCAATCAAAACCAGGCCAAAATGACCTGTTTCCAATGTCGACAACACTCCCCATCACCACGAAAACATTTCCTTAGCCTCCTAGCCAAACCATCTCACCCCACCCACTCGTCTCGCCAATCGCCAACAACATGTGGTTGCCACCTCACTATTTTTGCGATTTCTAGTCGTTTCACTCATCGGAAATTGCCTTCATCACCATCTTTAGACTCATTTGCCATTCCTCTTCAAAACTCCAACATCCTAGCCACCAATTGCTCGTCGATTGCATCCTCAATTGCTAGCAAGGGCCATGCATTTTTGCAATTTTTTATAATTTCACCCACCGAAAACCACCTCTATCGCCACCTTTAGACTCATCGGCTGTATTATTCAAAACCCATCCCAGCCACCAATTGTTGGTCGGTGGTCGGCCGGATCGGGTCGGGTTTTAAAACCTTGCGTTAAACTTCAATTAATGTTGATCTTATTTCATAGTTCAAGCTCTTGGGTTGAATAGTTTATCAACATGACATACATTATACTCAAATCGATTCTCTTATTTATCAGTCACTTCAGTAGGAAAAAAAGTGGTACTAACATTCCTCGGTAGCAGGGTGGGGTGTAGGGACTCTGGGGTGTATTACTAGAGGTCTTAAGTTTGATTCTGCTTGATTGCTATAAGGGTAGCCACTAAAAGGTTTATCCGTTGTTAACTTCAAAGCTCGGGGGATTAATCGAGATGTGCAAAAAACTGACCCAGACACCCCTAGTCACCAAAAAAAAAAAAAAAAAAAAAAAAATGTGGTACTAAACTAGATTAGATTGGATAAAAAATAATACTTATATACGTATTCTCTACTTAGGACCATATGCAAGATTGATGATATTTTGTCATGAAAGTCGATGTTTTATCAAAGATAGTGGATAATGTTAAAGAAAGTTAGGTTATAACAACAGTTGAATTCAAGCAATAAATTCGTAGACATATATAGGACCTACCACCCACGAGAAAATTCAGTTTAACCTTGTGAAGACATTCAATGCATGAATCAATCCCTCTTGAAGCATATTTTGTTTGGATTCGCAATGAAATACATCATGTTATAGAACTTGATTCAATGAATCAATACCATAGATTGACTATTCTTTGTACTAATTGTATTCTCGACTCAAATTTATAGTCCGTTCGTTTTCTATCTATCTCATACTTTGTCATTGTAAGATATGAGATATCTATTCACAAAGTGAATTTTATTTAATATATTACAAGTGTTAGAAGTTTAATTTGTCCCATATTATCAAATTAATAGACTGTTGTGATACATATATATGTATATATATAGTTAAACTCTTTCCTCCTTTAAACTAGCTTTTGTTTTGCCACTGTTTTGACTTGAAAGCTGGACCACTCTTCTCCATTCACGTAAGCTAATGCAAAATCAATTTTATTTGTTCTTTGCAAAAAGATGCACATCGACACAAAAGAAAACTAACCAAGAAAACGAGTTAAAAATCTCTAAAGACATATTGATGATTGTTATTTCTTTGTTTTTAATATAAAAATTTCAATCTATAGTGGTGAAGAAAGTTAAATCTATAATGGTGAAGAAAGTTAAGTTATAAAAACCCTAAGCTGACAATCGAGATTTGCTCCCTTTCTGAGTTCTGAGTTTAAACTTTGGGGTCACCTATTACAATAATATTGTGGATTACTTGGTCATTTGGGTTTGTAGTGTATTCAATAAATCTGAGAGATTAGTTGAGGTGTACATAAATTAACCCAAACATTATAGTTACCCAAAAAAAAAAAAAAAAAAAAGTTAGGTTGTAACATGTTATAGGACCACCACATGGAAAATAAGTGTTATTAATGAATAATAATACCTATATAGTCCAAAAACATTAATTGTGATTAATTGTCTGAATCTGTGAAAATGAAGCAGTGGTCCTATATTAAATATGTCGATTCACCTCTCCCTTGCAAAGCATATTTTTGTTTGGTTTCTAAAACCAATACGTGTCTAAGATCACCTTATACTGCTTCATTCAATGATCGTATGAAAAACGAGCCAAAATTCTCTACAACAGAAAATTCATGAAGAATGGTGATAATGGAAGACAGTTAGTTAGGTTACAACAGAAATTCAAATTCAACTGATAAATTTGTTGACCACTGCAAGGAAATTCTTGGATGTTTATGCAAAAGATGAACCAGTGGTCCACAATCAAGCAAATGTGAATTCAGGGATTTTTTCTTATTATTAATAAATAGTAGATACATATGATCTCATTTTAGTAAT